ATAATAAAAAATACCAATAGATAAAAATAGAAAATCTAATAGAAAAGTAAATTTGGAAGGATAGACCAAAGGAAACACCAGAAATCAAGAACCTGACAAAGAGATCTGGGAAGTCAGCATGTTAAACCTGATGTATTTGCTAAATGCTTGATATTCTTGTAGATATTCTAGACTCAGTCCAGTACTGATTATTTCAATTCTTTGATTCTTCTGATAATTTTATTTCTTTGGCTTTTGCATTCTTTCTAACACGAAATGCTTGTTGTTTTATCCTGAGGTCATCTTTCTCTTTTCTAAGCCACAACCTCAACCATGCACTCAGAAAACTAAATTGGTACCTGGTAAAATGAATTAGTTTGGTGTGACCAGCACAGCAGAGGACCACCACCCATAGTCACCCACTCTCCCTTGTACTTCACTGGAATGAGAGCAGACTCAAACCACCAGGTGAGATCAAACAGGTCAACCAACACTGCCCTTAGACCAAAAGAATTGTAGCTACAGATGCAGTCTGCAAAGTGAAACCTCAAGCTTCATGGCTCTCAAAAAGTACCTGCAATGCAAACTGAGGATAAAAAAAGGAAGAAACCTTGATTATTTCTTCCAAAATCCAAATATAAGTAGTCTAAAAAAGCTGGGCTCTTTCAGTGTATGTCAAACCCCAACAATACAGGCTGCCTGCAACAATGCTATTAATATAACCATTCTTATTAGTACATTTTTACCACAGGAAACAAGATGTTATTGTTTCTAATCTCTAACATATTGAATAATATTTTCAACAAGATAATTCCAAACATGTTTCCTCTTGTAGCTATTTTATTACATTTCCTACAGATAATGCTTACAAAATTATCTCACTTATTGTTATTACTGTAGCCTCTGGCTCAGGAGCAAAATTCTAATAAAAAGAAAAATTCTATTTTACATTTCTTAGTCCTAACAGGAATAAAATCTTCCTGTGTTTAGCCTCTATTATCAAAGCTCACAGTGGAAAGTGACCAAAAATCCATAAATTAATCCAACTTCTAAAAAATCCCCAAACCTCCAAGCATCAATCACCTCTAGCCTACCAACAGGGACAAAATACCTTCAGCAATGCTTCTAAAGAAGTTATAATTATTCTGTTTCATGTGAGGGAAAGATTAGAAGGCTCATACCATATTTTAGTAGAAAAAAAAGGAAAAGTAAATTGAATAATCACTTGTTAATGACAGGCTTTCACACTGAGATAGGAAAGCCAATGTTTTTATGCCGTGGTGCATCTGAAACTATGGTGTGATAAGGGGAAAAGGAAACTAATGTAAGCTGTTCTTTTTTATGGTACTGACCAAAAAGAAAATCTAATCCTGTTTTCTAGCTGAAAAGCTTTTCTTCTCTTTGCACAAAAATAGCTGGTCAAGCAAGCAGTTCTAGGAGATAGCAAACAACTGTAATGCAAATGGTTTCCTGGGAAATTTGTATTTTTAACCTTCTGTATAGTAGTTAGAGAGTTAAAAGTGAGCACCTATTATTCTTTCATTAAGACTGTCATTTGGTAAGCATCCATTTTCCAAGAGACCAAGAATATGGGTTAGGAACCAAGGCTTCATGTTTTGACAGACACACTGATGCGATTACCCAGTTTAGATAAATTTTTAATGGTCATTAATTTGACATAGGCCAAGCAGAGTAAAGTTTTCAGGGAGCACAGATTTTTATTAACATATCTCACAAATAATAGCTATTGAAGAACATCATACTGATTTTCTTCTATCTATATAGATTCGGATCCTGAAATAAATAAATCCCCCAAAACCCTAACAGGCTAAGTTCTGGGTTTTTATGTGGTAAAGTTTGAGTATTTTTCTACCTTTTTTTCTCAGATTCTTTCTAGTTTCCATGAAAATCACTGGGAAACTTGTCCTCATGTCTATAGAAACCAGAGAAGATCTTTAGTTGTTGAAAGTGTTGAATGGCTTGCACAGCATGTGCTTCAGGCTCTGAGAGAGCTGGGAAATGTCTCTCCCTGACAGACGGACCAAGAAGGATGCTGCTCTGATCACTGTTTACTTAGTTCAGAGTGAAAACAGACTTAAAAGAGCTATCTCAGTTATGGTTCCTTATTTTTCTTCCTAATGGCCTATATAATTTTTATTTACACTTCTCTCCTCAGAAAATTCTTGATCTGTTCTGATGTACAATTTTGTTACCTGTAGGGGAACACACAGCTTCTCACCTTTTTATTCATTAAATAGAATCTCTGAATGACTTATTTTAGTAATTCCTTTGCATGTTGGGAAGCTGCCAAAGTTGAAATCAAATCAAGTGAACACACCAGCAATAGCTAATTGCTACATTCCCAAGCAGTGCTGGGGTTTGATAGACCTGTTTCACACACAGAGCATTGTTGGGTCTACTCTGCTCCAATTCAGATAGAAAACAAAACTTGTTCTTGACTTTACTAGGAATCATTCTTACTTGACGTTTGTTTTACTGGAGTGACAGACCTGAGAGACAAATGAAGAAGATGCTGTGCCACACAGCCTGCCCATGTCCTTGCTGTCCTCCATCAGGACCACACTTGGTGGCTTTCCCTCCTGTCTTCTCCCACAGTCTTGAAGGACATGGGGCAGGAAGAAGAGGGAAACAGGTTTTATGCCAGTGTTTTTTCAGTGAGTATCTTGGCTTTTTCAGTTCATACAACTTCACCATCCACAAACTGTTGGCTCACAGAGCTGCTTGCTCACAGAGCTGCTTGCTCACCAGTGTGTAATTCTCTTCATACCCATGAACAGATTTTCATCTGTTTCAGTGACATTTCCTGTTTGGCCTTCCATTTTCCTCTCAACTGTACCATCCAGAGATTTCTTCCTGTCTTCTCTATAAAACTCTTACTATCATTTTGGTAATAGAGTGATATTTCCCAATGCTTCAACCCTGGGGTTGAGATTTATTTATTCTTTGTCCAGTCAGTAACAAACAGTTGAGAAACTACCTGATGAGCAATATTGTTTCATATCCTCTCAAGGAACCACAGTCCTGCTGTTCTTCCTCAGGCTGTAGTAAAGCACATAATGGGTTTCCAATGGACCAAAAGCTTTGACTGCCTTCATTTTCTTCTTTTTTATGAGTGACATAACTAAAGCCTTTGGAAGAATTTACTGTAGAAGGATTTCTGTTCATAGGGGTTGATAAAATAATTTGTGTTTTTACTGTTTAGAACCTCCTTCACAGGAAACTGCCACACTACTTCATTACAATAAATTCCTTCAGGGATTAAGATGCCTATCATCATAATGTCATATAAGAACAATTGGTCTCTTGTGATTCTGACTGATAATGCTTGTCTCTTCCTGGGAAATGTTAGACAGCCATCTCAGAGACATTTTTCTTCTGTTCAGAGATGTTTTTCTCAGCTGTGTCTTCTGTTGTTTCATCCTTCCAAGTTCATCACCTACCTTTTTGGCAATACCTGACATCCCTATAAATCCCGTGTAGCAGAACCTGCGTCCACATTCCAATATTTCTGTGGTATAGTTTTCAACTCAGATATCTGCTACAATGTCCTTAGCAGGTGAGCTTTAACAAGGCACTGAAAGAGTTACTAAGGAAGAAAAACACTGCCTCTTAAGGATTATTTTTGACCACAGATGTGGCATTTCAATATTTAATGAAAACCGGACATGGACATCACTTCTTGTTCCATCAAATAGCATGAATATCTGAACATGCTTGAAATGCAGAATTACTGCACCATTACAGAATCATAGAATAATTTATGTTGGAAAGCATGTCTGAAGGTCATGCAGTGCAACTCCGTTCATAGCTGGGCAGCTTAGATCCTGAAGAGTGAAGCAGTAGATGACAGGAAGGATCTTGACCTCACTGGAACAGTAGCAAAGCTCTGGGGTAGTTCTGCTCAGCAGAGCACTGCACCAAAGTGAATCTTATCACAGGACCTCAACATTTATGGTGTGGTTTAGCTGGTGACACAGAGGGAGAAAATAACCTGTGATTCCTACTGATGATTTTTGCATGTCATCAACCCAGGCAGTTGTTTCGCAGACCAGGTGATGCCAAGCAGTCCGTGCTCTTGGGCAGCAGACAGAAAAACAGCCACTGCAGCTGCTTTTCTCTTCAACAGGAACCGTGTCTTTCACTCACTGAAATCTGCACCTCCCATTCCACAGCTGTAACATTTCTTCCCCCATCTCCCAAGTTCAGCAATGTCCGTTATTCCAAGAGATTCAGAGAACCCTCATAAAATAAACATGCTTGTCCTTTTTCCACCTCTTCTGAAAAATGTTACATGTACAAAAGGAAAACTGATGCGTTGAGTGAGATGACACCTCTTCAAAATACAAATCAATAATCACAAGTGGCATCAAAACATTGGAGTTCTGCCAAATCTTTTGTAAAGGTGTGAATTGCTAATCTAACTTCTACTAACATCTAGTACAGGATTAGATGTTTTGACAGTAATGTTAACAAAAGCAGAAGATGTATACAGTGGGGAGACAAATGAGTTCTGCCACAACTCTACTAAAACTTATGATGGTGATCACAAGCTAAAAGACTACAAAATTATCTATTTAGTCTCATGATTTTTCAATTATTTTTTTTAGGATAGGAGGTGGGTGGGGGAACAGACACCATGTTGCGTCTGTGGCAGTGAATCCCTGTCACACAATTTGTGATGCAAGAGCCTTTCCAACCGTATTTGCAAAACCAGAACAAAACATTTGCAGCCTTTCACCTCTGTAGAATATGTAGATACAGAGATGAGTTAACAGTTAACTTATATTTTCCTATCGGTGAATATATCATATAAAATTGGGGCTGAATTCCCTTCAGGCACGATACCATCAGTTATAAAGGAAATAATTTTAATTATATTAAATTAGGTCCAGCAGTGTTTCTGCTGGCTGTCTGCTATTTTCATAGTGGGAAATAAAAGACCAGTCAACGGAGTCAAATACTTTATTGACATTTACACATAAAAGAACCTGGCTTCCTAATAACACAGTGATACATCTGCATGAGATTTACACTAAGCTTCCAGGTACTTTGCTATTGACAAAGTACTGATTAGTACTGAATAACCTACCCAGATGTATCTTTGTAAATAAAAGCAGACTGATTACAGTAGCAACACTTAAACTCAAGTTTATTCAAATCTAAGCCCAAAGATATGTGATCAGTATTTTCTTACACAGATTAAGAGATTTGAAAATAATGTTCACTATAGCACTTCAGTAAATCTAGTTCTTACTGGTTTTAAGAAAACCTGAGTGTTGTTTTTGTTGGACACGGGCCTAGAGCCTTTGTTAGATGACCTGAATATCACCTTCTATAGTAGCAATATATGTCTTAATTTCTGTGGAACTATATTTGGTTGAACCATCATAAAGTATTTGCACTTGTTTTTTCTAATAAGTCATGGGAAAACTTCCTGGTTGTGTGTCTATAAAGACAGGGCGTTGACTTTTACTGTATAACTTGAGTTTTATAATATAGATTCACCTCTTCAGTAGTCAAAATTAGACCATTCTAAGGGGTTACTGACTTTACTTTCTACACATGCGTTTATTTATCTAAGTATTCTGATTTAAAATTTTCTGAACACTACATTTCTAAAGTTATGACCTTAATTTTTCTGTTGTTTTGTAAAGATAGGCTATTCTAACTTGTCATTAGAAGGGAGCTTAAAAGTTATTAATAACTTTCCATGCCTTCTTTGATACTCTCTGTTTTGGTTTGGTTTGGTTTGTTTGTAGAATTAATTAGAGGGTATGTTCCTTTAGCAACCTTCCTTTTAATATTGTGACGGTTTTGCTGCAAATCTCATTTGATTCAGTTCAGCAATATGTTGTTGAAGTGGAGCTTTTTAAAGAGTAAAGAGTACAGCACCAAAGTCCTTCCTGTAGAATGAGAGCATTTAGTTGACTTTTCATTACAACCCCAGAGAGCACAACCTCACTCTCCACTTTCAGTAAATATGATTTTCTTTGAGAGGCTGTGAAAATGAGAAAGAACTCTAAGCTGTAAGAAGCAGGACCATTAGAGTAGAAGAAGTATAGTCCAGTTAAATGGTTCATAAGGGAACTTCAGGATTCAACACATGTACTGCACAAACGTTTGATGGTCTTCTGAGTGCATGAAAGTAATGGAAGAACATTCTAGATCATAGTATACAAGACAGTTCTCAAAATTAAAATACATTAAGCAATAATAAAAATAATCCTTTATAAGAGTCTAACTTTACTACTAATAAAAATAAAAATCATTGTAAGTTCTTGGTGTTTAATTCAGTTCAAGTATGTTTCCTGGGTTATATGAAATATTTTGAGTTCTAATGCAGTGATGGAGTCAGTATTTAAGAAGCTAATATTATGCCTTCTTTCCAAATTACAGTGAAATGCATGAGCTATCCTAAGGCATCATTGAACACACGGCACACTCGGCATTCCCGACCCAAACTTGGACCATCGCCTGTTCCGCACCGCAGGACACGCTGTCTTTGGGGGCCCTCTTGTGCTGAGACTTCATTACTGCGCCTGAAACCGCTGTGTGCTCAGGAAACCTCTGCGCCGGGCTGTCTTCAAACCGTATCTTCTGCAGGTTTTGAAGCTACAGAAAATGCAAGTTAATATGAATTGATTTTTTTTTTTAAAAGTCACGGGGGAAAAAAAAAGGTAAAAGCATAGCTATGTCCAGTATATAAACCTATGAATGATATGACAGAGACTGGGTTTCAAACTAGTGAAGGATAAAATCTTAGCTATTGGGACAAAAATGTCAGCTATGTCAGCTGGGAAAAAACTAAACAAAACAAAACCCAAAAAACCCCAAACAAACAAAACCAAACCAAACCAACCAACCAACCAACCAAACAAAAACAGAACTAAAAGACTATAACTATGGACTAACTGCCTCTTTTGCTTTATTTTTTCCCCACACTTTTCACCTGTTGCTACAGCATAAGACTACAGCTTTGTCTTCTATAAAAATTTAGTGGAGAAAATACAAATCATTTAAGTTATATGCTTCTAATGGGAAGTTAAATATCACAGTCTGGCAGGAGAATGACATTTTATATAGTACTTGCACAGCAGTCCCCATCAGGGTCAATACAAATAATGTTAAGGCCATATAAATGTACTGGCATATACAGCCTTTGAAATAGAGACCTATTGCTGCCCAACATCACTGGGAATTCTGCTATGGATTGGCAGAGTCATGTGATCTTTGCAGATTAATCTCAGCTAAAAGTGCAGTAAGTTCAAGAGAGGCAGTAATCAACCTACATAAATCTCTGTACCAGCTTCAGGACTGAAGTGTCCTGATCGTGCTCACAACAAAACAAAGTCATTGCCAACATCACTGCCTGATGGTCACTCAACTGATTTACCATGGGGGCTAGAAAAACATGCCTGTGTTCTGTGTTTCAGACTTAGATGAGGATTCTAGAAATGTCTACCCACTGTACAAATAACTTTCTGGTTTAGATTGACTAGAAATGTAGACACGATAAGCTCATGAGTTCCATCTTTGTCATCGATGCTGATTGTGGTGGTTTGACCCTGACAGGATTCCAGGCCCACCAGAGTCCCTCTCTCTCTCTCTCCCCTCCTCAGCTGGACAGGGGAGAGAAAATACAGCAAAAGGCACATGGGATGACATGAGGACAAGGAGTGATCACTCAGCAATTACCATCACAGGCAAAACAGGCTTGACTTGGAGAAATTAGTTATATTTGTTACCAACCAAAATCAGAGCAGGATAATGAGAAGCAAACAAAATTTGCCCCACCCCTCCCTCCTTCCCAGGCTTAACTTTATTCTTAAATCTCCACCTCCTCCCTCTCAGTGGTACAGGGAATGGGGATTATGGTTGGTTCATGCCTTGTTGTTTCCACTGCTGCTCTTTCTTCAGAGGCAGAACTTCTTCCCTGCTCCAGTGGGGAGTCCCTCTCATGAGAGACAACCCTGCATGAACTTGTCCAAGGTGAGTCCTTCCCACAGGCTACAGTTCTTCAGGAACGGTTCCCTCTCACAGGATGTAGTCCCTCAGGAACAAGCTTCTCCAGCGTGGGCTCCTTTCTCCATGGACCCACAGTTCCCGGCCAGGAGCCTGCTCCAGGGTGGGTTCCCACAGTGTCACAAACTTCTTTAGGGTATCCACCTGCTCCAGCACGGCATCTCCCATGGAGTGCAGGGGGATGCATTTTCTGCTCCCCTGTGAAATCCTGGAACACCTCCTGCCCCTTCTTCTGCACTGACCTGGGTGTCACAGGGTTGTTTCTCTCACATATTCTCACTCCTCTCTTCTCTGGCTGCAATTACTTCTGTCCAATAATTTTTTTCCCTTCCAATGTTATCCACATGAGCACTACTGTCATTCCTGACGGGCTCAGCCTTGGCCAGTGGCAGGTCCACCCTGGAACCAGCTGGCATTGGCTCTGTGGGACATGGGGGAAGCTTCTAGAAACTTCTCACAGAAGCCACCCCTGTAGTCCCTTCCCCACACACTCTACCAAAACCTGGCCACACAAATCCAGTACCCTGATGAATAAACTGCACTTGAGCATATATACAGGGGCTGGTTGAAAGCTCAATAAAGACTCGTGTGGAATTACCTAAGCATTGCTGCCTACAGTGCAGCTGTCTTCATCTGAATTGCTATCTAAGGTTCTACTTATGGCCACTGAAATGTAGGGCTGCACTTGCCTCTCTCTCAAGATAGTCAAGGGAATCACAACCATTTTGATGTAACTTTTGGATCCAGTTCTTAATTCTATGAACCAAAGCCATCCCCTGGTAGGTTAACTCTTAATGCACCAAGTTTTCCTTTTCTAAATGGCAACATTAATGCCTATATTCATGATGATAATAGAACATTAAGGTTTACAGTTTCCAGAGATACACATAGTTCAGGGAATCTTTTCACTTTCATCTGATTAGTTGGGTAGTGATTAAAAAAGAAAAAAATTAGCCGAATAAACTAACATGCAGTTTTACACATGAATGTGAGTGCTGTCTACTCACACAGATGGTTGACAGTACCAATATGCTTCTGCAGAGGAAACAACATGTAGGCTTAACATACTCATAAATGCACTTGTGGGGTTACAAGAGAAGTGGATTGAAGCTCCTGAGTGGGAGATGAAGCTGAGCTTCATTAATTAAGCAGCAAAACACTACATGGTATGTTTTCAAATACACTACTGGTATTCAAAGGTATAAAAGGAAATCAGTTAGTGAGAGCTGTAGACCGACAACGTTGTCTCTAGAAGAATGCAGAAATTACTATTAATTTTAAATGAGACCCGTTATTACAACAAATACCATAACATGGAGCAAATAAGAAAGAGATTACCCAGGACTATTATTTCACAGATGTACTGAATGACAGTGTTGTTTTCTGAATGACCAAACTGAGCTAGAGCTTGACAGTTAATAGGAAGTATTTTAAAAAGACTTATTTTTAGAAAATTATAGTTTTGCAAGTTACAAATTTTAATAACCTTGTGAAATTTAGATCCCAGTATTTCCTTCTTTGACTCTTCTCTCTTAAACTGGGAAGCTTCTGTACTGCAGGCACAAAGAAGTCTTAAAATCCCTCAGGCTTCCTTCCATATTCAGGTCAGGAAGACACAGTATACTGTAGAAACTGAAAACCACCAGTGGAAACATATATCTACAGTAAAGTAGAATCTGTGACAAAATGAACCTTGGATGCCCATCTATTCTCAGCTTATACAGAAAACTACATATATGGAGGCAGAGAAGGTGAACTAATGACTTAGAAAAGAAACAGTAACAGTCAAGTTTCATTGAAGGTCATCTTAAGTAAATTAGATAGAAAATCAATAGAGATTAGTTGGTTCTTCTCACTAATATATTTTTACAAGATTAAAGACTATTACCCACCAGTCTAATACATGTAATGAGGGTTTTTTTCAGTTTTAATCGTTTTGCAGTATCGGCTTTGTCTTTTTTCAATTGTTTTACTTTCCTTACCTCTCTACACAAGTATTTTATTGGCACTCCCAGATAAGGTTCACATTAACCATTCAAGGACCTGAACAAACCAGGCATAGCATAATCTCATTTCTTGTACACAGAGAGTAACATTTGCAAATCTTCCCTGGTTTAGTTCAGCTTGTTTTCACAAGTTCTGGGAATACTTGCTGCTCTACACCCTGATTTGGATATCTGTCATGTCTGGGTATCACTTTAGTCAAGGGCAGGCTAATAAAACTGCAATACTTCGGTGATAGTCAACCTTCAGCTATTATTGATTAATCATAAAACAATGTCTAGGAAGTTTTTCATCTTTATATCTCTATTGACTGTAACTGTTGCTTCCAATTGCTGACCTGGTTATTATAGCATCACCATTTCAGTGAGATTACAGAAAGGCCTTTATTGAGACTACTATGCAAACCAAGAAGAAAAGAGTATTTTTAAATGAGTGTGATAAGTGTCCTGCCCTCTGAAACTTTTGGCTACAGCTTTAAACTGAGAGGACAACAGTCTGAGCTGTTTAGTCTAATTGACAAAAATCAAAATCCTATATATCTCACATGAAAGCAAAGTGCCTTCTTCTCGTTATCAAACACAGTGTCAGAAACAAAATACATTTATTGGGGCTACCAGGCTCAGATGCAAATGCTGAGATCTAAATATCACCTGTATGGCTGAAAACCATAATGCAGGGGATACTCAGCTAGGAGGGGCTTCCATGTGAAGTGATGCACATGGAAGACCAGCAGATAGAAATTTGAAAGGTTGAGTTAAAATCTCTACAAACCTCAGCAAGACTAAGCTGAAGCCCAAAAGGATGTGTAAATAAGAACTGCATAAAATTCCATTAAGAGACTTCGCTAGTTAATCAGATTATCATCTTTTAGAAAGAATGTTTCAGGAGTAACTCTTATCTGTAGTCCCTCAGCAAGCCTTAAGGGTGACATTCCAAGATGAGGAAAACACTCAGTAGTTCCTGTCACTCTTACCCCAGTGTCCATAGGAAGGGTCCTTCATAGACCAGGATGCTGGGGAAGATTGTTGCTTTTGTTCTGGAAGGTTGGCACTGGTGGTTACATCTTAAATTCCTGACCCCTTCAATGTATGGAATCGAAGCCATCATTTCCTGGAAGATCACTGGACAAGTGGAATACCTAAGATACAAATCCTAGGGAAACAGTATAAACTGGCACCAGTGATCAAGGATGCAGGACTCTGATATGACCAAGGAGTGCCATTTCCCTGAGCTTTCTGTCCTCCAGCTTTCCTAAGCAGGATAGGACAGGAAGAGAACTTTCTTATATTCTCTACGAATATTTAAGAAAGCATTTGAGTGAGTCCATTAGTCAAAGTCATAAAAGTCAAATCCATAAAAGTCAAAGTTGTTGTGTTTTGTATTTTAATTATTTTGATGACTAAAAGAGGTATTTCTAATGCAGAGTGCCAGAAATACCTTCCAATCAGCAGATCAGCCCCCAAGCTGAGTAGATCTGAGTAAGAAATAGAAGCACTGAGCAGCCACAGGACCAGACCCAGGACTTGGAACAGGTGAGTTGGGATTGCGGGGAAATATGAAAGAATTCTGGGAGGTAGGGGGCAGGGAATTTTAGTTGAATTATAATCCCATAGTCACTGCACACATGGGGGTTGGAACCAGATGATCTTTCAGGTCCCTTACAACCCTAAACATTCTGTGATTTTATGATTATATATTAAGTCTAACACTTGAATTAAATATCATTTTACCTTCAATATTAAAATACTTTAATGGAATTACTGAGATGTGTTTTTACAGTGTCACTGCACTTGAAATAAAGACACATTTAAGATCTAGTTTACTGTAAGTCTACCTAAGAACTATTTAATTTGTGAACACATTTCAGAAGGCATGGACAATTCAGTCTGAAGATAATTCAAAGTAAAATAGGAAAAACAATACATCATTTGAAAAGTAAGAGGAAAGGTTAAGAGTCAATCAGCAAAAAAACTATAGAGTGTGCTCTGGAGATACGTACATGTTCTCATTAAGTAGATAAGAACATCCCCTAGTCAGGACAAAGTAAAAAATGTAGAATTTAGGCAATGGTAAGGAAAAAATAAGTTAAGCATTAGGGAAGATTATACAGTGCAGCAGCTTTAGCTTGTGAAGAGTGGTGAAATCATCACTGGAAGTCAGAGATAAATGAGACACCTCTATTTTCTGTCTGCTCAGAGATAATCTGCTGCATGACAGCAACCTTTTTGGTTAAAAAGAAAATAATTATGACAAACAATGAATGCAAAAATGAATGCAGGGCATCATCATCTCTCCTGGCAGACTGCTGAAATGCTGAGTTGAACCATTTATATGGTTTCTAGTTGGTTTTTAAAAAGTATTTCTAATGTGAACAAGTCACAAGAGTGGTCTATTGTACCTAAATTTATTTATGGAGTCTGTAAGGTCTAATCTCTGTCTGGTACGGTTTTATTCATACACAAATCTTGTCTCATTGCTCCTCATCTTTAAATTTTTCCTCCTTCAGTCCCTCTTGGACCCTCTGGCACCCCCAAGCAGGTCAGTCCTGTGACTGCCTGTTTAATGAGCACAGCAGGATGTCAAACTGAGCCATCAGACTGAACTGATCCCTCATGGTGCTCAAGAACTTGCTGAAGAGTAAACCTGATGAAAAGAGAATCAAACACCATCCCCTCAGGGTGCATTGTATAGTAATCATACCTTTACATTTACTTCAGTACTGTGAAGGCACACAGTAAAAATCACAGCAAGCAGGTGAACACAGCACGCAAGGATTGCTACAGACAACTCTCAGTCTCTCCTACATTAAAAAAATAACAGAAAGGAAAAGTTTTTGTGGCTACAGCCTTTCACAGCTTTAATGCAAAATGCAGCATATTGAGAAACACTATTATTCAAGGTTTGCATCACAATAATATAAAAGCAAGAGGAAAGATGAAATCATTGCTGATTTAAGGCTTTTGAAAATTCACCAGTAGGTGCAGAATCTCGCCACGACTCATTTAAGGAAAACATTACACACATATTCAGAAAAATCACAGCCATAGGAATATATTTATTTTTCAACATAAAAGTATTACAGTTGGGTTTTTTTTCCTTCTGATTCTTCATAGTTAGTAGGGGGAAAAAAAAACATAGGAAGATCATGATAATGTCTGTGCAGGTCTATCGTAAGGCTGAACAAGCAGCTTTTGTCCCAGTGTACTTTCAGTTGTAAATGCAGAACCTCCAGGTTCTGCAGTGAACTGTATGCACAGTGTCACACACTGAAGTGTCTGTCAGGGTTTCAATGTAGCTGAAGGTTGGACTCCATGATCTCGGAGGTACTTTCCAACCTTAATGATTCTCTGATTCTGTAATAACAGTATGTGCTATGTGGAGAGCTTGTTAGTGTGCTGGACAAAGTGGGACTGCAGAGCGCCCAGCACTGCTCGTCTGGTGTCACAGCCTGGGAGGTGACCAGGCCTTCAGCACAACCAGCACAGCCAGACCATTCCTGTGCAGAGCCAGTTCACAGAATAACAGAATACCCTGAGTGGGAAAGGATCCACAAGGATCATTGAGTCCAACTCCTGGCTCTACACAGGACTATGCCCAAGTGTCACACCATGTGCCTGAGTGTTGTCCTAACGCTTCTTGAGCTGTCAGCCTTGGTGCTGTGACCACTGTCCCTGGGAGCCTGTTTCAGTGCCCACCACCCTCTGGAGAAAGAACCTCTTTCTAATATGCAGCCTAAGCCTGCCCTGACACAACTCCAGGCCATTCCCTCAGGTCCTGTCACTGGTCCCCACAGAGCAGAGATCAGGGTCTGCCCCTCCTCTGCTCCTCACAAGGAACTTGTAGACCTGTTTGAGGTCTCCCTTTAGCCTCCACTTCTCCAGGCTGAACAGACCAAGTGACCTCAGGCACTCCTGGTGTGGTTTCTTCTCCAGGCCCTTCCCCATCTTCACTGCCCTCCTCTGGACGATAATAAGCTTTACATCTTTCTTATAAGGGGGTGCCCAAAACTGCACATAATACTCAAGGTGTGCATCCCGTTCACGTTTTATTCTGCACTCGTGACCGTGGCCAGGGAGGCCAGATCCTTCCCCTCCACAGCAGACCCTGCTGGACCTACCCCAGGCCCGCCGGGCCCGGCCGCCATGTCGCCCTCCATCCCAGCAGTCCCCGCGCTCCTCGGCCCGTCATTCCCTTCGCCTCTCCCGGGGTCCCGCACGACCATCGCTCCCCAGGGCCGCTACTCGGCTTCCTTTGTCCCCCCAGCTCCGCCCGCGCCGCCCCCCCCCCTCATCGCTGCCCCGGGCCGGGCCGGTGCGGGCACCGCACACCGATCCTCCCCCCACAAAGGGGGCTGCCTGAGGGGCCGCGCGCCCCGGCCAGCGCCGCTCAGCCCGCGCCTTCTGATTGGCCAGCGGGGTCCGCCGCTCAGGCGCGCGGCGCCGCACCGCGCCCCCCGATTGGCCGAGAGGGCCGTCACTCAGGCGCGCGACAGGCGCGGGGGGCGGAGCGGAGGCGGGACCTTCGGCCCCGCAACCGCCGGGTCCTCTCGCGCGCGCCCCCCCCCGCGCCCCCAGTGCGGCTGCGCGCGCGGGGCCCGTTACGGCGGCGGGTGGGCGAGCGAGCGGCGGCGCGCGCCGGCCCCGGGCCCCGCTCCCGCCCCGCCCCTCCCGCGCGTCACGTGACGCGGGGCCCCGCGAGCGCTCGCGTGCGAACCGGGCCGGCCCCGCGCGCGGCCCCCATCTCGCCCCCTCCCCGCCTCCTCCCGCGCGCCGCCGCCGCCGTTTCGGTTCCATTTCCGGCGGCCCCGCGGCCCGGACCGGCCGAGCGCCCACAAAACCCCCCCGCGCTGCCCCTGCCTCAGCCCCACCGGCGGCCACACCCCCCCCTCCCCGGCTCGGCGTGAACCCGGCGCCCCCGCCCCGCACACACACACCCCCCCCACACACACACACCGCTCCTCCCCCGCCGCCTGCGCCGGCACAGAGAAAGGGAAGGGAGGCGGCGCCGCCGGGCCCGGCTCTCCCGCACCGCGCACAACATGGAGGAGCTGGTGGTGGAGGTGCGGGGCTCCAACGGGGCCTTCTACAAGGTACCGGGGGCTCGCGGCCGGGCCGGGCCCCGGGGGAGGCAGCGCGGCCGGGCACGGGAGGAGGAGGAGGAGGCGGCGGCGGCTCCTCCTCCCCGCGCTGAGGGAGCGCGGAGGCCCCGGGGCAGGAGGAGGAGGAGGAGGAGGGAGAGCGGGGCAGGGGCGAGGCCGCGGCGGGTCCCTCGCGGTGCCCGCGGGGAGCGAGCGGGGCCGAGGGGACGCGAGGCCCGTGAGGAGCCGGAGCGGGGAGGCCTCGGGCCTTGCCCCCTTTGTGGGAAGGGGAGCCCCGGGCCGCCCGGCGCCGGGCGAGGATCAGCGCCGGGATGGGGCATTAATTGCTAAATCCTCAGCTTTTGTCGCTACTTAAGGAAAGTCGCTCCGGCCGCCCGGGTTTGCAGGAGAAGCTGCACTGCTGGAGCACGGCCTGCACGGCGGGGAGGAGGGGGGACCTGGGCAGTACACATTCCTGGTAAAACGCTGTGGTGGATTCCTGCTCCTGATGCCATGGCAGGGGTCGGTGCCTGCTGATGTTAAAAGAGAGCGTTGCTTGGCCAAATATATCTGTGCTGAGTCCCTAAATACATTTAATTATCAAATGTGCTTCTTACTGAAGCTACTTAGAGGCGTTCCATGTTTGTTTCCCAGCCCTTGTGCTTAATACAGCCGTCACTGAGCCTTGAACGTATATAACGAGCACTTAATGTGTTTATTAATACCGTGCAGTGTTGTGTGGCTTTGCATGATTTGGGTTGTGTTAATCAGCTTGTTAATAGGGGTATAATTTGTGGTTTTACTCTAATCACAGGAAAATAAAATTCAAGCATGGTGGGTTTGGGCCTACAATCATTGCCTGTTATCAACATACCAGAAGCAGCCCTGGATGGGTTTCTGCAAGTCCCTCGTGGTTTAAATGTTCCTGGGACTTTAAAAATTGGGCCTAGGTATTGTGCGACATCCAATATTTATGTTAGCAATGAAGGAACAGGTAGAATTTCACGCTCGGGTGTTCCTGTGGTGAGCCAGGTAGATATCCAAACGATACAGTTCCAACACCTCCCAGTGTTTCTAAGAGAAAAGACCTCTTAAAAGCTTATTTTTAAAATATATGTGATGCTATCTCTTTCTGAAAATAACACCTATTTTTACAAAGTATGTGTGGTACAAGTCCAGTGAATATGGTAAATAAGCATCCTGTGAGTTCACAGTGCTGCAGCTGAAGTTCTATATCTGTGTATTGCTTCCTGGAATTAAATAATTTAGCACTTTTAAAAAAATCAGCTTTACATTTTTAAAGGTACAGTACTCAGAAAGAAACACAAGGAATAAATATGCTGCACAGGACAACTCTTAATGAGCCTTTTATCAAATTGTACTTGAGTATTTACACAATGATTGGAAAGAGATGATGGTACAAATGACATGGTGCAGTCTTCAGTAACAAATATTATTGAAGAAACCTGGGAGAATTGAAAGCTTCTGTAACTTTTATTCTTTATGCTGCATTTTGGCATCATGGGGCCCTGTACTCCTCTTGTGTAGGTGAAAGTTTTGTTTGAGCATATGTTCATGGAAGCTCATTTGTGATAGTGTATCCAGGTTATGACACAGACTTTGCCTCCAAGTTGCACACCACGTTTGCCTTTTAACTTTTAGAAATTTTGACATGGAAGTTTTTTTTTCTCTCCTATTAATCTCTGAGAGGACTTGGTTAAATTATCTGAGGAGACAAATGGGCACAGGGATTTATTGGTCTTCACCTCTATTATCTCTCTAGATAAAGCATCACTCTTAAGATAAATGCAACAATTCTAAAAAAAATAAATAGAAGTTGTAGAGTTTCCTTAAACTCATGCAGAAATGTTCAGTGTAAGCCAGCTATTTTCCTCTAGTCATTCTAGTTAACAGTTTTTAATTTTGTCATAATGTCTGAGTATGACTCTGTTATAAGTAATTTATCTAAATTTTTTCTTTTGAGTTTTATGCCCATTTTACAGGTGAGGAACTTAGTTGTAAAAAAACAGTGTTGACCCAGGATAGCAAGAAGTATGTGATGATGTCAAGTGTGAATTTAATTGCAAAATGGGTTTATTTATTTTCATTTAGAAAGTTTCTTTAAGGAGCCTCCTGAGAAGTATTTTAGAGCAGTAACACTTCAAAAAAAATCAAAAGCAAAACAATTATTCAATCTCATGGTTTACTGATTAGTTGTGAATATTTCTTTGGCTTTGAATAATTCTGCAGATCTTAAGCAAAACATAGAAATGTTTTGGAAAAACCCACCTCTATGTTTATGCTGAGATGTGGAGGGGAGGAGTATGAGGCTGTTGGAGTCAGGAAGGGCCTAGGTAGGCAGCTGGTTGCTTCTTTGGGTTTTCATGTCCTCCTTGTAGGTCTCTTTGAGGACCTGAGCATTTTTGAGTGTACCCAGCAGCATCTCCATCTGGACAGTACAAAACTTGTGCCTGATGGTCCCCTGATCCCCGCCAAGGGTAGTGACCCGGCCTTCTCTAACACAGGTGTAGAGGGATGGTGTTCCACACAAAGTGCAGGAGGCGGTTTGAGGATACATTCAGACCCAGATTTGAATTAAAATTTCATACTGGTCAGGTGCTCCGTGTTTCACAGAGTACTGGAGTGTGTTGGTGTCACTGCTGTAGTTGAGAGTAGTTCTTTCTGAATGGAGTTTAAGTGTTGCTTGGTGAATACTTCATACTTTCATGCTTTTTTTCTCTCCTTGCCTAAGATGAATTATTCCATGGAAAGTGCAGTGCAGTCAGTGGCCATGATTCAGGAATAATTGACAATCTGGTACCTAGAGGTGCTTAGTCATGATTTGCTATGTGGCTGGGCCCAGAATCCTTGGAAAGAAAATGTTAGATTCCCTCACTTATTCTGTGAAGTCTCGTCCCACAAACCACCAGGACTGTGAATCCAGGGGGAGGGAACTGCCTTTTTGCAGCTCACAGCCAAGTAACTAAATCTTGAAGATGTGCACTATTAGGGCATTTCTTGTCATGTCTTTTCTTATATAGGAGTAGTAAATTGGGTTTTGAAGTTCTTATCTCATTCACAGAGGACTAATAGACAGCCATTGTCTAATCTTTCTGGGACTAGCTTTAGATATTTCCCTCTAAAAGGGGACATGCTGGATGCCTTTCCAACGTGGAATTGATTTTTCTTTTCCAGTTTGGGAGTGTTTCTCTCCTGTGTCCTCTGCTAAAGATGGAAAGTGTGCTGTTTATGAGGCAGACGGTTTTGGAATGGTGTTTGTTGTTAACATCTATCTGTTGTCTGTAACCCAATTTTTGCCACTTCTTACTCTATAACCTTGTGAAAATTTTCCACTTTTTACCCCAGTAGTTTCAGTGCTTTGCTGTTGTTTGCTGGGGTTTATGGATAACTCCATTGGAGCTGCAACTGATAAAATCATTCATCTTTATTACTACTTTATTACTCCAGGTCTCACTGTTAGCAACTGTTCCTTTGGCCTCCCGTGGCCCTCTGTATCCATTTTTTCTTCTCTTTCCTTTCACTGTTCCATGCAGACATATCCTCAGCCAGTGTCTCCAGTCTCTTTGTACATGTGTGAGCCTGTCTGCTCAGTCCTTCTGAGGACAACAGCCTCTACCCTTTTCCCTCTCCTGGTGACCATTTCTGTGACTATTATTCTTTCCCTATTCTGTTCCTTTGTATGTCCAGCCTTTCTCAGATTTGATTATCCACCGAGTTCCCTTTTGACATTCTCCTTCCAACAGGTATGACATGTTCAGAACTGTTATGCTAACAGTAGATGCACGTTTATATCAACGTAGCTTTTCTTTATGTTAAAAAGCATATTTTCCCTACTTTCCCTCCTTACAGTTAATTATCTTCCTTTACTAAAATGGTTGACAATGCTCACCTCTGATGATGTGAGCAGACTTTAAAAAAAGCGAAATTTCATGGCAGCTGAAGCCTTTATTTGTTCCTTTGAAGTGTCTGTTATTACATTTAGTACAAAAATAACAAATATCCTAGTGCTTCCAATAATTATTACCTTTATAACAAATAATTGTTAAAATTTAGACCATATCTTCAGCATATAACCCTTCTTAGAATGTGA